AGCCCCATCGCCAAATCTCGACTGGATCGTGCCTCAGGTCACAGCTTTCTCGTCTTCAGACGAGGCCGCTCACTTGAAGCAGACAGACAGACAGACATACTCAAATGAAAACAGCAGCGCAGCGCCTGCATCCTACAATCGTGTTGGCAGAGGAGGCGAGGAAGATGTACGCGGAGCGCGCAATGATGAATGGGTATGCTATGAACGTTGCTATTGGTAAGCCGGGTTATTCCCCTCCCTCTCCTTAAATGAAGTTAATATGAGGACCTATGCTAGGCATACAGCTCCTGGTCGGCTCTCTGACTACTGCCATATCAGCGCTTGTTACCGGACGCGAGGTGAGAGCTTATCCCGGACTTGAGCAAAGTGACCAAATGCGTTCTTAACATTCGATTATCGTCCTGCCCATCCTCGGTACGGACATATCATATTCTCCCGAATTTCAGTCTCAGTGGCTTGGGCCTAGGTGCTATCTCTACGGTTACGGCAGCATTCCTCACCAAGGCCCCAGGGTCGAACAAACCGGAACAATCCCTGATACCCACGAGGGACCTCGAGCGGTTCATACGAGAATGCAAGGCTTTCCTAGTAGATTTTAGGTCAAGCGACGAAGACGCTCATAAGAAAGAGGTACAGAAGCTGAGGAATAGATTCGAGGAGATCTTGAGGGGCGTTATATGTAAGCGGATCTTTTTCTTTGTGGTATCGCCCTGTCTGATGCTTGGAATAGACCACGTAGGGAGAAAAAATGATCACCGGTAAACAAGAACGGATAGCACCACTCGGTATGTAGTAGAAATGATAAAGTAGAAGATCTGGCGCAAGGGGCCGATTGCATGCCTATCTCTGCACAGGCCTCGTCTGAGAGATGCCGTCCCTACTACTTGGTATACTTGCGCTCGGAACTCGAGGATGCGTCTAACAGGGGATCACTGGCCCCGACACAAACAACCATGTCTGGCATAGGGTATAACTGTACGCCCGACTGAGTTGGTATCACATATCCGATGTTCGACTCGGAGTTCCAGGCGTATGGTGTAAAGTCGCGCTGTGGCATGATTCCAAAACTGCCAGTGTAAGCACTATGCATTGGCATCTCGACTGTCGGCGTCCCAGGATGAAAGAGAAGTCTGTCTGTGCGACACAGCCATTGATGACAACACAAGATTCACAGCCCGGACGGCACTAACGCTGTGACAGCAATACACAAGTTGGCTTCCGACGTCATCGCCCACTCGGACGTTGAGCAGCCTTGTCTACAGGGGCAGCCCGGTGCCTCCCGACTCCCACGTACACACACCTTGATGGCTTCACCTTCGCCGATATCCTCACTGCACAGACAACCTTGTTGCAAAGTCCCTTAACCTTGCCAATGTCTATAGTACGATGACAAGGCAACTGCGATCTTCATGATCATATACAGGTCGTTCTTTCTACCATCTACTTTCAGAACATTTTCTGCCTCTTGCTAGAGCAACAACATTCGATAAGTGTTACAAGTCGTGCTTGGGGACAGACGCGACGAATATCGCTATCTACGCGTCTTCCGCCGTAAATAATGCATTTTTGGCTACTGGCGGCATGAATAACGCCACCGCTAACGGCGCGTTCTGATAATTCCACTCCCCGCAAATCACCGCTATTTGTAAAAGGGCAGAGACCTTATCCTGCCGAAGCCGGAGTTAAAGTTCTGCAGTACCAGCATAGACTCTGAAGAGGAAACCGTTTCAATTGAAACTAGAAGTTGGGCCGACGATAGGGCGGAAGAATAAAGATGCTCGTGTTTTTGCTCGTCTTATTTTTCTCTCGGTATGTAACATTCGACAGACTATAAAAGGAATCGTGGTTGGAAACATTCCAATGGACCTCCTTCCTGAGACGCATCTGGATTACATGCAATTCTTCAACTGGATATATTGTGGGGTATGCTTCGCTATGTTGATTAAATGCTCTACTTTGAGTTTGAATTCCAGGTGAACTTCAAATTTATTCTGGATGTGCCGGTATAAAAGTGAAACTAGGAACGCAGAAAACGTCGGTCGTCTCGTGAGGATTCATGTTGGCATGTATATTCAAGGTGCTGATGGACGAAATCGACCGATATAATGACGGCTTTGGTCTTGTTATTTGTATAATCAGGTGGGTAGTCCTCTTTCCGTTGACTGTGTCTGAGCATCATATAGGGTACCCCACTGTAGCATACATTCTAAATTTCTATCCTTCTCATCTGAAGCATTGCGGTGGAAACAACTTCTAAAGCTCGCTCACCTCTAGATGCCACGCTAAATGCGGTGCAACATTCTTCACTATGAGTGCCGGCTGTCCCTGCCCAGGTGGGTCTTCGCCGTGAATTCTTTCACCGATGACAAGTCGATAGATACACGCCGCACTTCATTCGTCCGACAAGAAAGATCCGTCGTTATTAGGCGCGGAGACATCATCAGAGCTTCCAAATGTCATTCCATCCCGGACCGTCTGACGGACCCAGCAGTCAATCTCACAGCTTTCTGGCGGCGTCGAAATTTAACAGAGCACCCATCCTAGTTGAAACAGGATCAAGACGTTCGGACCTCCTTATATCAACTGCATCGTCGTAGTGTTCCTGCCGGTACAGAGTCTTGCCGCAATACCAGAGTCGCACAACTCGAAAGCCCTATCCACGCAACCTGGTATTCCGTCGACCCCATGACTTGACAATGCCTCGAGCTGATTCATCAAACATGCTTGCATCCTCGCGTGAAGAAGTATCTTCTACCACTTCAACCACAGGTTCACAATCAGCAACGTCGGCTCCGACCATATCCCAGCTGCCGCTGAGTCTTCCTACTTCTACGCAAACTAAACCATTGCCAACTCCTGCTGATATCAAGCCATCGTCGAGTTCGTCACAACCGACGCCTTCATCTCCTGAAACACCCACGAAGCCGATTCATATCACTGCAAACGCCACCCCCACTTCCGCTACACCCTCTGTTCCCCTAGTGATTTCTACCACAGCGCCTGCCCTCACCGCGGGCGTAGCTACTGCTGGACCTACCTTTAATAACACGACGCTTCAGGATTCCACGAAACTATCAGAAACGATTGCACCAACTCACCCGAACCCAGCAGCTAGTATCGCCCCGACTGAAATTTCTGTGTCTACCCAGCAAGCGAATAAGACACGTTCTAGCATCATAGACATAGACCCACATGTCCGTATCAACCGACCCCTGCCTCCCATACCAGCGCTTGACTATATCGTTCCTTACGAGCCTAAGGTAGGACGCTTCCTCAGATACCGATCCGATCTACTCATTCCAGACAGATCCACGCCAAAAGCGTAGAGGAGCGGATGCTTCCTACCATTATAGTGGCAGAGGCAGAAAGGAAGAAATACACGGAGCGCGCAATGATGAAAGGGTACACCATGAATATCGTTGTCGGTAAGTCTTTGCACCTCCGGAACACTACCGCAGAACGAAATGTCTTGTATAGGCATACAGCTGCTTGTTGGCGCTCTAACGACCGCCATCTCAGCACTTGTTACAGGACGCGAGGTGCGAGATCAGTATTCTAGGTCTAGGTACAACAACTGAAGGTCTTAGATCTCGATCGTCCTGCCCATCCTCGGTAAAGTTCCATCTCCCTATTCTCCCAAATCTCATTTCTTCTACTTACTAGGGGGCATATCAACGCTTACAGCAGCCTTCCTCACCAGAGCCCGAGGATCGAACGAACCCGAGCGATCCCTGCTGGTGGCAAAGGATCTCGAGCAGTTCATCAGGGAATGCAAGGCATTTCTGGTAGATTTTGGGTCGAGCACAGAGGAAGTGCATAAGAGGGATGTGCAGAGGCTGAGGAGTAGGTTGGAGGTGATCCTGAGAGATGCAGATGTGTAAGTGAGTCTTTTTTGGAGGTCGTGTTCCTATCTGATGCTTTGAATGGACTATGTAGGGAGAAGAAATAATCACCGGTAAACACGAACATGGTATATCAATGGACAGAACGAAGTAATGACAGCTCGGCGCAGAAGTGAATATGCAGTATGTTCAGACAGCTTACAGCATCCTCGACAACGAAAATGTCGCAAAGGCGAAAACGGACATGGTGAAAACACGAAATATAGATGCAAGTTCCGCGAGTACAATATAAAGCGGCTGGCAAACGTGATGGGTAAGTAACGGTCGATTACGGTCTGCTACGGTATCGAAATATATACTTTCTTCGGGGAGAGGTCAGTACAAGTGGCAAGTCCCACCTGGGGGTTTTGGGCGCAACCCTAACCTGGGACTAATCTGCCAGTCCTAACTCCTGAGTAGAGTTGCGCACAAAACCCCCAGTTTTGATACACCCCGGTTTCGGACCGGTAAGTTACTGGTTTCTTACCACAAGTCGGTGGAGGGTATTTTGTTTACGTAACTTACCGCCCACGTGATGACATTGCTAAATTTCGTTTCACTTTGCACTTGCAGGAGTCAAACCATGGCACCTCTTTCCGACAACAAGCCTGTCAATTCCTTAGAGAACAATGTTATACCCGAAGATCATGAAATGTTGTAGCTACCAGCAGATACAGCAACACTTAGAGGAATTGTATTTACGCATTGTTCCTGAGTGCTGTCGACGATGTTTCGAAGATGCAAATGATTTCGAGATCTAGGTACATCCACAGAATCCTTATTAACATCAATGAATTACAGGATCTGGCTGATTTTGGACTGAGGAGAAGAGATTACAGACTTGGATGGGTTTGAAGATGTAGCCAGATAATTCTGATTGGTGTCAGTACAAAATTCATTAGGATTTGAGCTACGACGATGCGACAGCGCAGCGTCGCGCTTCAATTCCGAAAAATCGGCCTGCCGAGGTCACGTGAATAGACATGTGACCGGTAAGAAACCCCCTAGGAGGGTCGGTACAAAACGGTATGGAACCCCACCTGTTTGCACAGCCCTACTCCTGAGTCGTGAGGTGTGAGCTGTGAGCTGTGAGTGCCACTCAAGAATAAAATATAGAATGGGCTTGACTGGGAATTGAACCCAGGACCTCCTCGAAACAGCATCCTATTAAGTGCCCTAACAAGGAATCATACTACTAAACCATCAAGCCAATACTACCCGAATGCATGATGCTGAGGCAGTCATGGCCTGCAGGTACTCCAGCAGACCGCCGACGCACTTTTTTTGTGCAAGAAAAGACCATGTACCTTGGCTACGTCGTCAATACAATTTTCCCTCCTTGACAATCACTTTAGCGATAGTGCAATAAGTTCGGTTTGCGTTAGACGAAGACTCTTCGTTAGTCGTGACTAAGGACTAGGAGTGTTTATCACTGTAAATCTCAGTGGCATGAGACCAAAAAACACTGAGTATTAAGCACTGGATACAGGCCATGAACAGAAACTGAATATTAAAGCCTAGTTAGCAGCCAAGTTGTAGAACGATCCCCATACGCGGTCGAGTCTGAGTCGGGGGCAGGCTAGGAAGATATTGTAAATGAAATGACTACCTTGGAGCCGCGTCGAAAAAGCGTGTTCACTGCAAAAATTGATCTCTGAAGTAGATATTTATTATCTCTACCAGATAATCAACGCCAATGAGGAACAATAATGATACAGCGTTTATTAGAGAGTAGGGTTTAACGGCAGCAGTTACTTCTTTAAAGGTGTGATAGGTTTAGTTGCTTTTGGCCTGGATGACGAGCTTTTCACGTCACTTGTTTTGGATGCAGGGTCTGCTTTAGGGGTGCTGGGCTTTGGTGAGCTGCCGTTCTTGGGTTTTCCAAGAGGGTTCGTCTTGGATGTGGCAGAGGGCTTGGCCGCCTCGCTTGTAGAAGGTTTGCTGAGCTTGGAGGGGGTGGACTTGGGAGTGTCACTGAGCTTCGATGCGCCACCAGTGGGGGCTGCACCACTCGACTTCGTCGCATCACTGGATTCCGACGCTACGACGGTAGACTCGAAAATTCGGCCGAACCCTAGTCCAGCGATATCGCCATGCATGATCTCCTCGTCGCTGATATTCTCCAGTCGAACCAGCTCCTTGCGCAGGTACGTCACCACATCAAGCATAAGGTCAGGATACTTGACGTATTTATCTGCCTCGGATGGCGCATAATCGTGGACGCCAGATCCATCATCCCGGTGCGCTTCCTTATCGAAGTCGATTTTCTCAACGTTCTCCACCAAGCCGCCGACGAGGTTGACGGTACGACGGTACGGAGCAGGAGCACTGGGATCGTTGGGATCGGGATACGCGATGCCTGCTGCTCCACGAGCGCCGAGGAGGTTCCGCCATACAGCAGCCGCCAATTCCATGTCTCCTTTCACCATGGCGTGGTCGAGAGACATCCACATCCCTGCCCACTGCTCCTTGAAAATCTTCATTTGCCGAGATACCAATCGCTCCGGTGCTGCTCCGCGCCGTATCGGCTTGCCGTCGGGTCCCGTGGCAGGCGTATTAGGGTTGGTATAGAAGGATGACGCGAAAGTGTATGGTTCTGTGGGCTTTGAAGGAGGCTGGAGCACGGCACGAATTCGGTCCTCAATGTCGAGGAAAAAGTGATCCACGAGACCCTGCACGTATTCTTTTCCATGGGGAGAGGGAAGAGCGCGGAATCGAACTGCGAGCATCCAAGTATGGAGGTTGGTGACAGTAAACCACGACTGGAACGTTGGCGGCAAATCGCAGTCTCGGAAAAGTTAATACATTTGCACCAAAAAATTGTGAGACATACATACCTTGATGCCAGAATGTCATCTCTGCGTCTGGCGCAGCTGCACACAGCTTTGAATACAACGGAAACATCCTTCTTCCTGCCAACTGCTTCGGAGTGCCGTACCCCAGTAAATTCACGAATTTCATGAACCACCAGCGCGCTGTCGGTGAGGACTCGACTTTTCGCGTCAGCCAGCTCTTTTGGTGTTCCAAATTTATATCACCTGGCGAAGGCTGGGATTTTGGAGGGCTAGACGATGACGACGGCGTGTCTCGCAGCGTTTCGGTCCTTTTGGTTGATAGATAGCGGCCATTTTGGTGGAGAAGTCGTCTGCATGTGCATAGATGTCGGAGAAGATACCGCTGACGATAGTGGTTCATTTTTTAGAGACGGTGCAACGAACACCGTGCCGTGGCGGTACTTCAAACAGAAGGGACGAATCTAGTGAATAGCTTCATGCAAGTCACAAAGGCCAGATTAGAAAGAAATGCTAAAAACAACTACGATAGCAAGCTGTACTTCACGGAGGAGGCCTTAAATATGGCCTTATGGTCTAGTCGCATGATTCCTCGTTTGGGTTGAAATTCGAGGAGGTCCTGGGTTCAATTCCCAGTGAGGCCCTTTTTGATTTCTCAAATATTGAGTATTGATTGATGGGTTTTACATTGTATCAATAGTATGTACTATATATGATGCACTACATACTATATAGTTTATAGTGTGTAGCATGGGTTTTGGGGTCTCATTCTAGTATTACTCTTTAAACTTGTCTATGCAGGATCTAGTGATTAAAGCAGCTACACAACTTAAAATATAGGGACTATTTAGAAACAATTTATCACCTCTATACATTAAATATATAAAGGAGCACTGGCAGGCTTGACTGACAAGTTTGTTCTCTATGTGCTTCTGATACTTTAGACTATGTCCAGGGATCTTGCCTCTCTGGCCTCTTCTTCAATAAGTGCAGAATTTCTCTCTGGCACTGGATCTAGATTATCCATCACATCCAGATCAGCACTCTGTGAAATATTATCTCTATCCTGTGTTGAAACAGCACCAGTCCCAAAATTGAGAGAGGACACTGTAGAAGTACCATGCTCTTGCCAAGAGTCATTTGGTCTTGCATGTCCTGCTGCAACATGTCCAACCAGAAGTGTTGGTGCAATTCCCTAAAATAGATAGACATCAATTGTAATCTTCATCCAATATTGTAATAGACAAACCCTTATATTAGCAACTAGGGAATCAATATAGATCCCACTCAATATGTCCTGAGCCTCAAATACTATATCAATGATCAATATAGCAGAGTATAAGGTTGCTGATTCAACAAGTGCTTCAATAACTCCATAGTATGAGTGTATTCCTGCTCCATAACTAGTCCTTGCAACACTTATAATGTGGTACAATATAAAAATTGTACACCAAAGTGTTGTGGCAAGTGTCAATGAGAGATAGGCTATTTGCCACTCAGCAGTATGACCAGCATAAGTAGAATCTGTAACACCATTGGCACTATCACTAAAGTCATGATATGTCCAGAGAATCTTGAATGCTACAAAAAGATTACAATTTGATACTGCCAGATTTAAGACTGATTACCTGTGCCCAGAATGGTACAAAGCACTGGAATAATGATAACAAGCCATTGATGGCTCCACACATTCCAACACTGCCAGATCTGATCAACATGAATCAAGTAGTGATTAGCAATCTTAGATGAGAGAGAGTTTTCATCACCAACCAGTGAGCAGTCAGCAATAATAGTACTGACACAAGTAGTGATATCAAGCATCAAGGATCTTTGGGTTGTTTTTGGACTAAGATGAACTAATCCCCAGAATATTGTGTAGCAGTTTTCTCCTTCATTAATAAATGCATGCTGTATGAATGCCCAGTCATCACCTATTGCAACAGTGGCAAGGATGTAGAGTGCAAATATAATGAAAACCAAAGTATATCTTCCAATGGAGATGCCCCTGGTAGAATTTCTAACTGTAATCAGATGAAAGTAAAATACACAATTCACACATCAAGAAAAAAGAACTTACAAATGCTCCAGAGTGTAATACCTAGGACACCAGTGTAAAGTCCTACTGTGGCTCAGATGTCAGGGAAATTGCCCAAAGACTATGATGCTCACCATGCAGGAGCATCTCAAGTATTGTGCTATTAAGAAGCACATCTAAAATTTCAAGAATGTAATGAATGTCATCACTGGTAAGATCTGGGGGAAATGCTGCTTGTGCTGCCATAGTCAATAATGTGTTACGATTTATCCACCTTTTTTCCTGATTTTCCTCATCTAAGCGCCCAAGCGCTTATCTTCGTCAATCTTATCACCATATCGCCGCACCAAACCCACGACTACAACGGTCGACCACCGCTCCCTTACTACGGCTCACCTCCACCACGAGGTTATCGTTCGCCTTATTGTCATTCACTCGTTGTTCACTCGTTGTCGCTTACCAAGGGACTTATTATTAGCACATAGACTTTAGTATATAAGTAGCACGACTCTCGCTGTAATACCTCAGCTTCGAGCTATAGTTTATCTATACCAATCTTACTCTCTCAACGACTAGCACCTAGTGCCTTGCCTTAACGAGTCCAACGATACAGTCTCTCTCTAGTCATCGGTGTTCACCGGTATATGACTTAGAGCTTGCACTTGTTTGGATCACGTGAGACTTGGGTCTAACAGTTAGCTCGAAGCTTCCCTACGGTTCCTCAGTGCTAGCCACGACGAACCAACCAATGACCCCAGATTTGACAAAAAAGCAAACAATCGAACTAGGCGTAGCCCTTCCGGCTGCGTTTCTCCTCGTACTCTTCACCGCCCTCACGGTCTACGATCAGTACGACCGAATCCATGGATACCTCCACAGAAACGGGATCCTCGTCGGAGGCGAGCCAAGACCCGCCAGGAGGATTCCCCCACTCCACTACCAGTCAACAGCCCCCCCCACCGCCACAAGGGCCCCGCCGGGGGCCTACCCCGAAACTGAGCCCCGTAACTCGGAGACCCAGCATGCAAGGAGGCGCAGCACCCCCCAGACCCACGGTGACGCTTCCTCCGACGAGTTCCCCCTTCGCGAGGGGACAGTACGCGCACCCACTCGCGCAGCCACTCCAACCCCAGTCCATGCCCCCATGGATGAGCCAGAGCCAAGGCGGTCCTCCGCGGCCGAAGAATACGGGAGGGAGCTTCGGACTAGGTTCCGTAGCCCGACCCCGCCCCCAGACTACACCCCAGCCCGCCCAGCAAGGGTGGAACGACCCGCCGCTGGTAGAAGGGTACAAATTCCCGCAGGAGAGGTCGAGAGGACCCATAGCGGCCCCGCCGAGGACACCGACCCCGATTCCTCAGAGCCCGACCTACTCGCCCCTTT